CCCTGTTCTTCAGCATTTAGTACAAGAGAATCCTACTGTTAAATTCTAAATAACAGTAACAATACAATTTGCGACTGCAAACTAAATGGACATGATATAGAAATGGAAAATTAGCAAGGTATTTGGCTTGGCGCCTGTAGCTTAGCCCCTAGGGTGCCAGCCACATACACCAGAGTGGGTTCAAATGCAGGCATGGCCTGCCAAACAACAATGGCCTGGTGTTGTGGTGGGTGCCTGTAGTCTCAGCTACTTGGGGGGTTGAGGCAAGAGAATCGCTTAAGCCCAAGTGTTTGAGGTTGCTGTGAGCTGTGACGCCACAGCACTGTACGGAGGGCAACATAGTGAGACTGTCTCAAAAAAAAAAAAGAACACTGGGCATTTGAAAAATGACAATTGGACAACAGGAGCTTTCCCTACTAACCTAGGAGAGTTTCTGTCCTAATTACTAAAAATTTAAGTCTTTGATTCTTAGCTTAGCAGTGAAAATAACATTTGAAACAGGAATTACTCTAAAAGTTTATCACAGGGTAATTAAGGCTTTATGTGCTTATGTGGTTGGCAAAAGGAGTCATATCCCAGGTGCAAACGGCACTGTGGACGGGCATCAGGCATTTGTCCAGCAGCCCCTTTTTCTCCTTTGCTGCTTGAGAAGATGCCTGTGCTGGACTTCCTTTGGCACCAGCTATGAACCCGGTGCCGGGCAGCAACAGGAGACCCCTACCAGCCCTAACTCCCCAGGAGCAAAGTCCTGCCCCACAATCAGCACTGTGGTCCATGATAACTCACCTCAAGGAGTACTTGGAATGTCTGACATAGAACGGCTCTCTGGGACTTAAAAACTTCAGCTGGAATTTAATAGAAAACACTTCATAAGATTACACAAAGTAGATGTTTTAGCACATATATAAAATAACTATGCATTTCTTTAAAGATATATTTTGTAAATATTGCCACAAGATGAGGTAAGACAACAAATGCTGATGGACTAAAAATATATTGAAGGGAATTTTAACATGAATTTACTCTAATTTTGACTAAAGCAAATATCCAGAAATATGTCTATGTGATAGCACAGAAGAAAGAGAAAAGAGAAAAGCAAAGTTAAAAATCAAAATATAAAAAAAATTCTGACTTTCAAATAAAGGATCATGAACTTAAGTGAGTTTCTTTTCAAATACAGCATTAAGGCATTCTGTGAAAATTAACTCTTCATTACAACTTAAATAAAAATTATAGAACTGGTTTCCAGCCACAAGGACTCTCCTGGCCGCGCCCACTCACCTTGCGTGTGACGAAGGAGTTATTGCGCAGGTTGACCTTGAGCGTCCGCGCCTCCCCCACCGCGGTGGGCAGGAACCTGTACAAGTCCTCCGGGGCGTAGACTCCACGCACGGCTGCGGGGAGCTGCCTGCTTTGGGGATAGGTTTTAAATGTACTATTTAAAATCCACAGTAATTTAAACTTTTTATATTAAATGGCGTAGTATTGCATTAACTAGTGCTGCTGCTCACAACCCATTTTATTCTGTGACGGCAATTTCTGACTCCATAATAAAGCAACACTGGCAGGACACCCATGGAGGGTTCAGGATGAGACCCCCAGGCCACCAGGATCCCATCCGAGCCCTGAGTCCCTTTGTGCTGGGAACGGCATCCCCTCTCTCCCCTCCCTCCCCCGGAGAGCCTCCCTCTCCGGACAGCCCCAAGACCTCCCTTGTCTACACAAAGACAGAGCTGAACCTAGCCCCTCACTCCCCACAGCCTCTGTGTCCAGGCCTTGCCCACCACGGGGCAATCACGAACCAATCCCCCCAACCCTGGGTGCTCCTTCATCTGTCCACCCTCTTCATGGTCACCGGTTTCAGTTCCTTGAAAGCAGCCTCTGGCTTGTTTCGTCATATCTACCCTTGCTTCCTTTTAATTAGTACACACTATAGCCAGTGGATTCTTCTAGAAAGACTCAACTCTGACCACCACCTCTGGTAGCTGTGAGAAAAGCCCCTGCCCCCTTGGCCCAGACCAGGCCCAGTGTGGTCTGCACCCTGCCCCCACCCTCTAGCTTCCCCACGTGCTCTGCAGTCAAGCAACCTTCCCAGCTCAGCCTCCCAGAATGCTACGATTACAAGCATGAGCCACCAAACCTTGTCATTTTATCATTTTTAAGAATCTAATTTCAAGAGGCCAAAGCAGGAATTCCTTAAGCTTAGGAGTTGGAGACCAGCCTGAGTGAGGACACATCCCTACTGAAAAGAAAAATTAGCCAGGCATAGTGGTGGATGCCTAGAGTCTCAGCTACTGGCCAGGCTGGGGCAGGAGCACTGCTAAAGCCCGGGAGTTTGAGTTTGCCGTAAGCTATGGTGCCACGGCACCCAACCCAGAGTGACAGAACAACTCTGTCTGAGGAAAACAAAACAAAACAAAAAAGCTACTTTTATGTGCTGTTTATAGAAATGTAAAATAGTAACTGCTTAGGGAAAACTATTTGGCAGTTTATCTTAAACACACACTTATTGTATGACCCAGCAATTTTGCCTAAAACTAGATATTTTTATAAGTATGTCTACAGATACGCACATCCAACAATGTCCATAGCTCTAAATTGTAAGAAATCCAAATGGGAACATGAAAATAAATTGTGATGTTTAATTAAATAATAAATGTTTAAAAGGAACAAAGTAAAGGTACACTTGATACCATGAATAAATGGCAAAAAACATGCTGAGAAGAATCCAGACACACAGTGTCTATGTATATGAAGTTCGAGCAAAATTAACCCGTGATGACAGAAATTAGAGAACAGAACAAATCTCAACTGTAAAAGAAAATATAACAATTTTCTAGGTAAGAAAAACACTCTGTTCTATGACTAGAGTGGTAGTAACCCATGTGAACTCATAAATAAGTCATGAAGCATTTGATTGAACCTCAATAAATTACTAGAAAAAAAATCACAAATGACATACACAGGTAGAAAAGCAGAAGCCTCTGACACAGCTTGTCTTCGGGGCTTAACTAAATTATCTACTTTAATGAGAGAATCTCTGGAAATGCACACGTTTTCACCCTCATTTTCTGCTTTGGCACTCTGTATGGAAAAAAATCACAGGGTGGGGGAAAATAAACACACTAGGAAAATACACAGACATTTATCTATTTGAATTCTACCATTTTCTTTAAACTTTTTTTAAAGGAGACTTAACATTTTTAAGTTCTCTAAATTGCAAACTCTACTGTGTTCTATCTATTCACACATGCACACACGGAAGTGCCAGAGTGCACACACAGTATTTTACAAAGTTAAGTCAAACATGGGCTATGTGTGTCACATGCACAATGAGCAAAACCTGATCTCAAACATGCCAACCAATAAAGACAAAAAATTAAGATTATGAGGCAATACAAAAGAATGAGTTAAACTGGGATAATATTAGGAAAATACCTTGCATTTTAAAGCCAGCTTTCTTGTCAATTTCACTTGTTTTTAACATACACACCATAATTTACTTAAATTCAGTGTAATACTCACTTGTCCAGACAGTTGAAATCTCAATGTGTGTTTTATGTGAGGCTCTTTAAGAGGGTGACATTCAACATCCCAAAATTGGGCATAATCCCCTCTATCCCTGGGCAAAAACGTGATGGAAATCTATAAAACACACCCAGAAGAGAAATTTACACACTGATCACAAAACACATGTAGTTAGATCACCAATTCAAAGCTTTGGTATGAAAAAATAAGAGGAACAAATGCTTTTGCATTTTCCCAGTAATTAAAGAATTTGATCAATTTCATTTCCAGTAGTCTTGTTACATTATCAGATCCAAAGCACACTTTTGTTTCTGGCTTTATATAACATACCCCTTAAAATGCTTTTGGGGGATTAAAAAGTTCTGGTGCTGTCAAGCACAAGAAGTAGGCAAGGAAAGTCCAAATGCAGAAGGGCAATCCCGGCTTTACTCCTGGTGCTCATGGCACCCTCTGCTGGCCAGGCAATAAAAGGACATAGGTCTGGCAGCAGCAGGTGGTAAGAGCCAGGTGGGGAACAGCGTGTAGGATGGCACAGGATAGGCACCAAGACACCAGGTAACTGTGGGTTGGTCACTGCTAGGTACCCTGACTATACAGCTCAAAGTTGTATAGATGTCCCTGCATGTGCAGAACCTGTAAAAAGCTCAGTGAGAAAACTGCGATCTTTAAAAGTAGCATTTTATAATGTTTACCAGAGTTAAGAGCCTCAGCTTCAAAGAATTTAGTGTGGATAATAATGATCACTAATTAGGTTATACTGATAATATACAGATAACACAGATCACTTAAAAGTGAATTAATGCCTGAGTCTGGACTCAAACATCAAAACAGTTAAGTAACCTAATTTCTGCCCACACAAACCCTGAGAAACAGTAACCCAGCAAGCCTCAGCCAAGGCTTCTGAAAGCCTACAGGCAAAGGCAGGACTACCAGGAAATAAGAACAGCCACTAAGGATTAATCTGCTCACAAGGAAACAGAAAGGAAGGAAGGGGTGAAAACCACCCCTTGGGGACTGCAGTTCCATAAAACCCCAACCACACCCCTTCAAACACCAAAATAAAACAGAAGAGAAAAACCAGGATTACTGCATATTTCATAAGAGGAACACACTGGGGACTTTAAAGTTCATTATCTCATTTAGTCCTCATCAAAGTTAGATCCCTTCCAATGAAGCAGGTTGTAACTAATGAATTAATTCTTTTTTCTCTCCTGGATCATTACTGCATGTATACTTAATTGTGCTAGCTGATAATATTTTCCTAAATGGTCTCAGAATCATGTGCTTTGCTGTTTTCCCCCTAATACAAATTAAGTAACCAGATCTAAAATTTAGTGATTTACAGAATATCTATAATTATAACTTTGGTTCAAGATAAACAGTGATGAACACAACAAAAATGAAAGATCCTGCAGAGCTTCCACTTTTTTTTTTTTTTTTTTTGAGACAGAGCCTCAAGCTGTCCCCCTGGGTAGAGTGCCATGGCATTACAGCTCACAGCAACCTCCAACTCCTGGGCTCAAGCGAGTCTCCTGCCTCCGCCTCCCAAGTAGCTGGGACCACAGGCGCCCGCCACAACGCCTGGCTATTTTTTGGTTGCAGCCGTCATTGTTGTTTGGCGGGTCCGGGCTGGGGATTCGAACCCGCCACCTTAGGTGTACGTGGCTGGCGCCTTAGCAGGTTGAGCTATAGGCGCCGAGCCAGAGCTTCCACTTTAGATCAATGGTAGTATGATGAGGAGAAATTCCTAGGAGACAGTCTAGCCTCCACCCTGTTTTAAAAACAGTTTCGTCGAGGTATAATTCACATACCATATGTGTCATTTAAAAAAAAATTTTCTGTATGTTTTGACATGTTAAAAAACCTTCTTGGGTGGGTTAGCCAACTCTGAAGGTGGCAAAGGACTCAAGCAGGAGCATGCCTCTGATACACAAAACAACCAACACAGAGCCACAGCTGTCCTAGCTGGCCTGCATACCCAGGTGATGTTTCTCTGCCATACACATTCCAGGCCTAGGTACCAGGCAACTGGAGACCACCTGTTAGCTTATAGCTTGTGATAAATTATTCAAACTAGCCAATCCTCAACTGTTCACCCTGCCCTGCCTTGCCTTTCCTGTAGAAACACCAATAAAACCTGCAGTTTCAGCTTTCCTGGGCTTGTCTTCTGCTGTCTGACGACCCTGGCATTCTCCCTGTGATCCTTCAAGGCCTGTAGACACCTCCTTTCTGGGAGGATACACTTTGTGTTCCTGTGCCTCTCCTGTTTCCCCTTTTGTGGCCATGCATGACTGACCATTACATAAAAGAAAACAAAAACATAAATTCATCCATTCCAGTGAGCTGTGTAGCCATCACCATAATATAATCTTAGAATATTTTCAACAATCCAAGAAGAAACTGGCTGCCATTAGCAGTTACTCCCCATTCCCTACCCTTAGCCCAACCCTAGCAACCACTAATCAACTCTGTTTCTATCATTTGCCCATCCTAGACATTTCCTATACAATATGTGGTCTTCTGTGACTGGCTTCTTCCATTTAGCATAATGTTTTCAAGGTTCACCCATCTGGATGCAGCAACTTTACTCCTTATTGCCAGATATTTCACTGTATGGATATACCACATTTTGTCTATCCTTCCATTAGCTGATGGACACTTGGGTTCTTTCCACCTATTCTGACTATTGTGAAGTCAGAGCTAAGAGAATTTGTAGGCTCAGTGCCTGTGCTCAGTGGTTAGGGTACTGCCACATGCACTGGAGCTGGAGGGTTTGAACCCAGCCTGGGCCTGCTCAATGATAACAACAACAACAAAATAGCCAGGTGTTGTGGTAGGCACCTGTAGTCCCACCTACTTGGGAGGCTGAGGCAAGAGAATCACTTAAGCCGAAGAGTTTGAGGTTGCTGTGAGCTATAACACCACGGTACTCTACCCAGGGCGACAAAGTGAGATTCTGTCTTTAAAAAAGAAAAGGCATTTGTTTGAACTACTGCTTCAATTTTTTTTTTTTTTTTGAGACAGAGCCTCACTATGTCACCCTGGGTAGAGTGCTGTGACATCACAGCTCACAGCAACCTCAAACCCTTGGGCTTAAGAGATTCTCTTGTCTCAGCCTCCCAAGTAACTGGGATCAAAGGCGCCTGCCATAAGGCCTGGCTATTTTTTGGTTGTAGTTGTCTTTGTTGTTTGGTGAGCCCGGGCTGGATTCAAACCTGCCAGCTCCAGGGTATATGGCTGGCTCTCTAGCTGCTGAGCTACAGGCACCGAGCCTTTTTTTCTTTTTTGAGATAGGACCTCACTCTGTTGTCTGGGCTAGAGTGCCATGGCATCATTGTAGCTCACTGCAACCTCAAACTCCAGGGCTCAAGTGATCCTTCTGCTTCAGCCTCCCGAGTAGCTGGGACTATAGTCACTTAACACCACGCCTGGCTAATTTTTCTTTCTTTCTTTTTTTGTAGACCTGGGGTCTTGTTATGCTGCCTAGGCTAGTTTGAATAAGCAATCCTCCTGGTGGGATTACAGGTATGAGCCTTTATGCTTAGCATTTTTTTTCTTTTTTTTTAAATCATAGCCATCTTAGTGGGTCTTACGTGATACTTCATTTCTGGTTTTGATTGCATTTTGCTAATGACTCATAATTCTCTTTTCTTTTCCTCCCTTAAATAGTTATTTATTGGCAGTGGGCTGGAAGGAGTGATGGCATTAGCATATACAGACACCACCACAGGACAGTGTCATGTGGGAGGCAAGAGCAATGGGCAAGACCACCTGGGGCCCTGGATGAGCCCCCCTTCTCCAAGTGCGGGATGGGGAAGAGCCTAGAGTGTTGAGGGGGGAGCTTTAGAATACCTCTGTTTAGTGGGCATGGTTAGAGATGAAGAGAGACTCGCTGGTGCGGCCCCAGCCTGACCACTTGGGGTGTTGAAAGAATAAGACCTATGCCTTGCTCTGTGCTTGTGGTTTTAGGGTGTGGGTGACATGGGTCAGACACACACAACGCCTTTAAATCTAACATTAGTTCATTTCCAGGATTTCAAGGGGGCAAGCTCGGCAGTATGGGTCCTAAGTGAAGAAAGCTAAACTTGAAATCTTTTGCAGGAACGAATGGCTGACTTTTAATGTAGGCTGGCCACCAGAGGGCACCCTCCATCTTCCAATTATTCTCCAGGTTAAAAATGTTTACAAGGCTGGAACAGGACACCCAGACCAAATTCCATATATCACTGTATGGCAAGACTTAGTGGAGAACCCACCAGACTGGTCAAAGGCCATGCTGCCTCCGAGTCCCAGTGACCAAAAAGAGATAATGGCCTTAAAAGAGAAACCCTCATACTCCAAGAAACCCATGCCCCTGCAACTCACTGCCCCTACCCCCTTATACCTCGTTTTGCATGGAGGCACAGATCCAGAAACCCTCTTTCCACCTTCATACTGGAACATCCCTGCTCCTCACCCACAGGGGCCAGATAATGAAGCTGTCCCTTTAAGAGGAAACCTGGCTGGGAGCCCGCCCCACACTCGCTGGAGGGTGTGGCAAGAACAGCCTTGTGTCACCGCTGACTCTACGGCCCTCCCCCTTCAAGTAGTTGGTCCTCCCGATAAGGAAGGAGAACAGCCCCTGCATTACTGGCCTTTTGCAACCAGTGACTTATATAACTGGAAAATGCAAAACCTCCCTTTCTCTGAGAAGCCCACTGCACTTGTTAACCTTTTAGATTCCATTCTCTTTACCTACCAGCCTACCTGGGATGATTGCCAGCAACCCCTACAGGTCCTGTTCACAACCGAGGAGCAGGGGAGAATTTTAGCAGAACTAAGAAAGTTAGTCCCCGGAGAAGATGGGACCCCTACCCTTAACCAGGCTTTGATTGATGCAGCTTTCCCCCTAACCCGACCCACTTGGGATCTTAACACAGCTGAAGGTAAGGAGAGGCTCCAAGTTTACCACCGGACTCTGATGAGAGGGCTTAGGAAGGCTGCCTGGAAACCAACCAACTTAGCAAAGGTATACAGTGCAGTGCAGGACAAGACAGAGACGCCAGCAGCATTCTAGAGTGCATAATGGAGGCGTTTTGCACTTATACACCTATGGATCCAGAGGTGGAAGATAGTAAGCCCGCTGTAATTACGGCTTTTGTCAATCAGTCCACCCCAGACATCCGGCAGAAACTTCAGAAAAGAGACAAGCTAGGTAGACAATCCCTTCAGGATCTGTTGACAATTGCAGAAAAAGTGTACAACAATAGAGAAACTCCAGAAGAGAAGCAGTCACACACAGCTAGGAAGCAGACCCAAGACCTGGTGAGGATTTTGCTGGCCTCCACTGCGGGAACTCCGGAAGATAAAGCTCTACAGCTAAACTACCTTGCAAAAGGTAAGGAGACAGTCCCCTGGGCAGGCCTGCCAGCTAGTAATAGACCCCGTCTCTGCAAAGACCAATGTGTGTACTGCAAAGAGAGTGGACACTGGGCCCGCAAGTGCCCTAAGAAGAGGCGCCCAGAGCAGAGAGACCGGGTCCCTGTGTTAGAACTTGAAGAACTAAATGATTAGAAGGGTCAGGGCTTGAGACCCCTCCCTGAGCCCCAGGTAACTTTGAAAGTGGAGGGGACACCAGTTAACTTTCTCATTGATACCAAGGCCCAACATTCAGTTCTGATCAAAGACAAATGGCCCCTAGATTTCTGGAAGTCTTGGGTGCAGGGTGCCACTGGCATTAAACAGTATTCATGGACTACTACACCTAGGCATGGGTCGGGTATCCCATGCGTTCATGGTTATTCCTGACTGCCCCTACTCTCTCTTGGGGCATGACCTCCTCACCAAGATAGGAGCACAGATCACTTTTGAGAAAAACGGGCCCCAGGTGACTGATCAACAATGGCACCCAATCCAAGTATTGACCATCTGCTTAGAAGATGAATATCAGCTACATCAGCCTCCTCAACCAGCCCCCTCACCCAAAGACATGACAGAGTGGCTCCGCCAATACCCTGCGTCATGGGCAGAAACCGGAGGAATTGGGCTAGCCTTGCATCAGCCTCCCATTCTAGTAGAACTAAAGCCAATGGCCGAGCCTACCTGGGTCGGAGGCATGGAATGCCTGTCTCAGCCTATCCTGTCTCAGGAGGCATGGAATGGTATACTGCCCCATATCTAGAGGCTTAAAGAGGCTGGAATTTTAGTTCCTTGTCAGTTGGCCTGGAATACTTCCCTGTTGCCAGTCAAGAAGCCTTTAACAAACGATTACTGGCCTGTCTAGGACTTGAGAGAAGTCAACAAAAAGGTAATAGATATCCATCCCACTGTGCCTAACCCATACACTCTCCTGAGCTCACTGACTCCAACTCAGACATGGTATACAGTGTTAGAACTTAAAGATGCCTTTTTCAGCCTCCTGTTAGCCCTGCAGAGTCAGCCTCTGTTTGCCTTTGAATGGAGCAACCCTGAATGTGGCACCCATGGGCAGCTCACCTGGACCCACCTACCACAAGAGTTCAAGAACTCTCCCACCATCTCTGATGAGGTGTTACATGAAAACCTTGGCGACTTCCATAAGACACACCCTGATCTGACCCTATTGCAGTGTGTAGATGACATCTTGTTGGCAACAGACTCAGAATCCAAGTGTGTCCAAGGCACACGAGACCTACTGGCCACTCTCGGCTCCCTTGGCTATTGAGCCTCAGCAAAGAAGGCTCAGCTTTGTCAACAAACCATGAGTTATCTGGGATATGTACTGGGGGTGGGGGAGGTCAGTGGTGGCTAACCCAGGCCAGAAAAGAAATGGTACTGAAAATCCCAGTGCCTATGTCAGCCTGGGCAGTTAAGAGAGTTCCTAGGCTCAGCAGGCTTTTGCCAGCTCTGGATTCTGGGCTTTGCTGAAATGGCCAAACCTCTGTATGAAGCCACTAAAAAAATTCAACCTTTTCGATGGACAGAGGAACAAAGTAAGGCTTTCCACGCCTTAAAGAAGGCCCTACTGCCCACCCCTGCCTTAAGCCTTCCTCCCATTACCAGGCCCTTTCACCTGTACGTTGATGAACACAAAGGAGTAGTGAAAGGGGTGTTGACTCAGACTCTAGGGCCATGGAACCAGCCAGTGGCTTATCTGTCAAAAAAACTAGATCCTGTAGTAGCGGGGTGCCCTCCGTGCTTGCATATTATATCTCCTACTGCCCTTATCACCAAAGATGCAGACAAACTCACTCTAGGACAAGAACTAATAATTACAACTCCTCATGCCATAGAGGGGGTGTTGAAGCAGCCCCCCGGACCAGTGGATGAGCAATGCCCGACTCACTCATTACCAGAGTCTGCTGCTCAACCCTCCTCAGATCCAGTTTGCGCCTAAGGCAATGCTCAACCCAGCCCCGCTTCTGCCAGACCCAGACCTGGACACCCAGCTTCATGACTGCTCCGAGATCCTGGCACAAGTACACAATACCTGCCACAACCTGAAAGATCAACCTTTGCCTGATGCGGAGGTGACCTGGTACACCAATAGCAGCAGTTACATCAAAGATGGCAACAGGTATGCTGGGGCAACAGTAGTGACTGAGACTGAAGTAGTATGGGCTAATCACCTCCCAGCCGGCACCTCTGCCTAGAAGGCTGAGTTGATAGCCCTCACGAAGGCCCTTGTCTTAGGAAAAGACAAGAGACTCAATATATATACTGACAGCTGGTATGCATTTGCTACTGCGCAAAGAAATACTTGACCTTCTCTTGGCCCTCTGGCTCCCCCAAAAGGTGGCAGTAATCCACTGTTCTGGGCACCAGAAAGGAGATACTCTGGTGGCTAGGGGAAATAGACTAGCTGACTTAACCGCCAGACAAGTGGCTGAAAACACAAGCCTAGAACTTCCCCTCCACATACCAGATCTAGGATCTCCAAACTTGCCAGAAGCTCCCAATTACCACTGAAGACTTACAGTGGATGCACCAGATCCCCATGGTACACTCCCCAGAGCAGTATAATGGGTGGTGGCTCACTTGTGACAGAAAGTTTTACTTTCTGCAAAATTAGGGCAGGAAGTCTTACAGTGGATGCACCGCTCTACACACCTGGGTTCCAGGAAGATGAAAGATCTACTCAGGCATACAGGTATCAAAATACAAGGCCAAAATGCCAAAATTGATGAAATAGTTGCTTTCTGTAAAGCGTGCACCCTCACCAATAGTCAACCACAACTCCAAAACCTGGGGTCACAACAACGTGGGACCAAGCCAGGTGTATACTGGGAAGCTGATTTTACTGAAGTCAAACCAGGTAAATATGGATACAAATATCTGTTAGTTTTCATAGATACTTTCTCTGGATGGGTAGAAGCCTTTCTCACCAAACAAGAGACAGCACAAGTTGTAGTCAAGAAACTCTTAGAAGATATAATGCCTAGATATGGACTTCCTAATAGTATAGGATCAGACAATGGGCCAGCCTTCACTTCTCAAATAGTAGCTAGTCTGGCTAAGGCCACGGGAACAAACTGGAAGCTACACTGTGCTTACCAGCCTCAAAGTTCAGGACAGGTAGAGAGGATGAATCAGACCTTGAAAGGAACCCTGACAAAATTAATTTTAGAGACTGGCAGTGCCTGGGTGTCTCTGTTCCCCTTTGCTTTGTATAGGGTAAGAAATTCCCCCTATGTCATAGGCAAGACCCCATTTGAGATTATGTATGGAAAACCTCCACCCCCTAGTTCCCACCTTACTGAGTCAAGCTGTAAATGACAAACATGATGATAATTGTGTTCTTTCTTTACAATGTTATCAAAAATATTGGCAAGAAGACTGGAAGAAGATCATTGCCCTGTACAACAGCAGGCCCACACCTGAACCCCACGCATTTCAGCCTGGCGACTGGGTGTATGTAAAACGTCACCGGCACGAGACTCTCGAACCACAGTGGAAAGGACCCTACACTGTTGTCCTGATGACACCCACTGCACTCAAAGTAGATGGCATCGCATCGTGGGTCCACTACACCCATGACTGCCTAGCTGATCCATTTGCTGCCAAAGACTACAGCCCAGAGTAGAAACTCCAATGAGACCCTGATAATCCATTGAAGCTCAAACTGCAAAGATGCCAGAATCCTTGATGTGACTATATGTGCACTATATATTGACTTGCTCTGCCTTAAAATAGCTACTCCCCTTGCTGCCAGCCCCCGTCTCCCTGTTCAGGTAACATGGCAGGTTATTGATGCTAGCACAATCAGACCTCAGGAATTCACCCTAAAGGTACTTGGTTCCTGGAACTCCTAGTAGATCTCCACGATCTATTAGGGACCACTCTCTGGTGCCACCCAGATCTGACTAAGACCTTTTATGTCTGCCCCGGTCACCTTCCTGACAAGTGTGGAGGAGCGAGTTCATATTTCTTTTTTTTTTTTTTTTTTTGAGACAGCCTCAAGCTGTCCCCCTGGGTAGAGTGCTGTGGCATAGCTCACAGCAACCTCTAACTCCTGGGCTCAAG